ATGTAATGCTAGGAAGCTTTGAGTAGCTTTGGGTAGCTCTGAGTAGCTCTGAGTAGCTCTGAGTAGATTTGGGTAGCTCTGAGTAGATTTGGGTAGCTTTGAGTAACTAGACGGACCGGGAACGGGTTATCTTGAGGTTATCTTGAGATGATTTCGGGGTTTTAGTGTCCCAGCGGCCCGGTCCTCGACCAGGCCTCCACCCCCAGGAAGCAGCCCGTGACAGCTGACTAACACCCAGGTACCTATTTTACTGCTAGGTAACAGGGGCATAGGGTGAAAGAAACTCTGCCCATTGTTTCTCGCCGGCGCCCGGGATCGAACCCGGGACCACAGGATCACAAGTCCAGTGTGCTGTCCGCTCGGCCGACCGGCTCCCTCTATCAGTTACTCTGGCGATGATACGACACATTAACATGAGAAAATCCCTACAATGAGGGTTCGAACCTCGTCTGCGTTTTCCCAGGCACACATTGATGAGCATCGAGATAGTGTGATTACTCTCTACTGATTAAAATGTTAATCAATACAAGTGAGATTATTAAAACCGATATCTCCCCCAGTATCCAAGCGGTGCGATATCCTGTGAAATGCAAAATTAAAAATCGTCTGGGTTAGATACATTTGAAGGAGTAGGAAGAGCTATATAGTAAGTGGATGACCAACGTGGGCCAATCGGCCAGCTGCTGCTACTTCCTGTATCTATAACGTTAAGTTAGACGTTATAGATACAGACGTTAGAGATTCATCGACTTGGGAATGGTCCAGGACGGACCGAAACGTCGTCGTCCCTTCACTTTCTAGTGTGTGGTCTGGTCAACTTACGTTAGACGTACAGGCCTGCATCACGAGATGTAAAGCTGGAACATATTAGACGGGAAGCTGTAAGACGGAAAATGTCAAGCTAGGTAGATATAACGTTAGGGTTTAATACATTACTGAACCTAAAATTATAACGAGCAGAAGGGAACATGAGATGTTACAAGTCCAGTGAGAGAGAGAGAGAGAGAGAGAGAGAGAGAGAGAGAGAGAGAGAGAGAGAGAGAGAGAGAGAGAGAGAGAGAGAGAGAGAGAGAGAGAGAGAGAGAGAAGCGCCCACAGGAGTCCTGAAGCTCAGTGTCAACAGAACCGGACAATGAGGCAATCCTCCGTTTCCAGGAAGAACCCATTGAAGCATTTGTGTTAAGAAAACCTCCCCAAAAATCGTTCGTCTTCACTGATTACAAATTTTGTTCAATGGCCTCCTCGTATTCTCTAGCCCCCCAGTGTTCACTCTAGTGTTCAGAGAGGTGTTCTTCTTCCCTACAGTGTTCAGGCCAGTTTTCGCTACCCAGCTGCTCGTGTTCACTGACCAGTGCTCGCTCGGGTTTACCGTTTCCTCGACGGAGTGAATAAAGCACATTGTTCTCCTTTGTTAAGCCACGGACGTCCGAGGGGAAATTAATCACACCCGGTCATTGAGAACTTGAATTAAGCTCCTCTCGTCCCGAATTGCTCAACCAATATACCTTTATCGTTAAGTTTGTCACTTTTGCAACACACGAAAAAATGGAAACCATGAATGGAGAAATTCAAAGTTTTTTTTTTTTCAGGAATAGACTCCGTCGTCCGAGGAAGAGTAATGGCTCTTGGCGGTGAATTAGGGGTCAGGTCACGAGTGGTGGGGGGGTGGGGGGTGGGGGGGGTGGGGGGTGGGGGGGTTGGGGGGTTGCTGAGGTTTGGTTGGAGGAGGGAGGTGGGGGGGGAGGGGTAGAGATTATAGGGCGAGGTTAGGGATTGGTGGGGAGGAGGGGGAGACATGGTGCTAGTCAATAAGGAAGATGCAGATGACAATCGTGGATCTTCTTGGAATCTAAATAATGGAGCATTTACAAAGCTGCACACGTACGTGAGACCAGTTTTAAAGTATGCAGCATCATCGTGGACCAAACTGAAAAAAAGCTGGGGGCAAATCTAAAAAAAAATACACGCTATTGGACTCAGCTGGTCGCAGCCTGATGTATGAATCACACCTGATCAACATGGCTGCGATTCATACGTTAGGCTGTGAGCAACCGCCTCCAACAGCCTGGATGACCAGATATCAATCAGGAGGCCTGGTCAGAGACCGGGCCGCGGCGACCTTGACCCCCGGAATCAACGCTAGGTAACCGCAAGGTAATGTACGGTAACCAGCAAGGTAAAGGGGGAATCCTGCTTGACAAACTTGCTGTAGTTCTACAAGATGATGAATTCGGACAAGACAGAGGGGCAGACTGCATATTCCTCGATTGCCAGAAAGCATTCGATACGATCCCGTATGGAAGATACCTTCTAAAACTAGTGAAGCAGTGATTCGTAGTGCACCCCTCAAGATAATCACACAAGACCTATCAATTGGAGACAAATATGAAGAGGAGAAAGAGGAGGAAACTTAGCAGCAGGAAGAGGACCAACATGGGAAGACAGAAGAGGTGGCAAGGGCGCAAAAGAGGCAGAAGATGAGCTGCTGAGGTCCCACAGGGTCAAGTTCGGGTCAAAGAGAGAGGGGGGTCACACACACTGGACTGTCACTACCATTAATCAGTTCGACAAGACCTCTCTCTTGTGCACCCTAAGGAGAGGAGAACAGGAAGGGCTTGGATTCAGGAGAAAGGAGGAAAAAGGAGAAGGGATATTAGGTGCTAATTGAGTTGTGATGGGAAGTGGAGAAGAAGTGGAGGAAAAAGGAAGGAGAATAGAGAGGGACAAAATAACTGGGATGAGAGTGGTAGACTGGGAATGGGGAGGAACGAAAGGAATAATTAAGCGAGATGAAATGCTGTAATATTCATATTAACACCTATGGAGAGGCACTATATTCACAGCAACAATGAAGGATGAGGCACTTATCCGGTATTAGGTAATGTTCTACACAGCAATACACTATAAGGTCGAGACAGTCATATCAATAGAGTATTAGGTAGATATACCCAAAGCAACACTGAAACTTGAGACTCGCATATCAACACACAAAAAGGACTAGTCACAAAACAACTCAAAAAATTAACACCCATCTCAAGAGAACAGCTGGATGACATACACCCAAATGCACTCAGTTAAGAAAATAAAGGACCCAAGATAACTAAAATAAATACCCCACATCAACACAAAGAAAGAATTCAGCAAAAAACGTGCCGCTAAGACTTAAGAATGAGACTATAAAGAGTTATAGCAGAGAGAGAGAGAGAGAGAGAGAGAGAGAGAGAGAGAGAGAGAGAGAGAGAGAGAGAGAGAGAGAGAGAGAGAGAGAGAGAGAGAGAGAGAGAATGAGAAAATCAATCACAGTTCTGTGGTTGGACACATTCACGCTAAACCCACACATTAGATTATTATTATTAACATCTTTATTGACAAAATTAATTACAATTTTGCCTAATCTGAGGATTTTGATAGTCTTATTAAATTGAGGATAATGCTAGTATTCACTGTCACGCAGGACAGAGGGTCATACATAAGACAATAGGCCTAAACTGTAGGCTGAAGCACATATATATCATGGTTACAATCAATGTTTTAAGAGAACATATCAAGAGAACATGTCGCTTCGTTCTGGACCATTGCGACTTGATAATGGTCTAGAGCAAACTGAAACCTCGACCTGTTCTCCCGTCCAATGTGTACGTTGAGTGTGCAGACAGAGAACAATAAAGACAGGAACAGTCACACGGGACAGGCGACCGACAGAAAATAAAAGACAGAATATATATAGCCACAAAACAACCCATCAGAGTCCAAGACATAAAAAAATGGGAGGTTGGTAAATAATATAATACACGTCAAGCCAGGATTAGCTTCATATGAAAGTAAAACAGTTTGTTCAAATCCAATAAACAATATAAAATTGAGATTGATTGTCGAGAAAATTGCCCTCCATCGAGCTGCGGCACATTAGGAGAATATTTATGTTCAATAATTGATTTCATTACAGAACACACATCAAGATTAAGGGTGTAATTGAGTCGGTCCTCGCATTTTTAGTCGCTCACAAATCATTCGCTGGATAGAGTTTACTCCCATGAATTACAAGTACAAGTTGTGGCCATATTTATTGAGTCGAGAACGTTTCCTGACTTGTGATTGACTGATGATAGATAGCAGTCTATATGATATCAACATATATAAAATATAATGATAATAACATGACAATAATGCACAAACGAAATCACATTAACGTGATATATCAACGACAGGATCAATAGGAGCCACGAGGGGGATTCGAACTTGAACACTGGGTACTCCCAAGCACACGCCTTAAACCACTGAGCCACGATATGCTAAATAGTCATGTAACCTGGGATTCAATTGAATCCTCGAAGGGCTTCAGAACTCCTACAGGATAATAAATATAATATTAGGATATGTTCGGTTAGTCTGGATGTGGTTGGGTTTAGCTAATCAGACCAGACGATTGACTTCTTTTTTATTAATCCATTTTGGTACATCTGCGTTTGTGCAATTCAACATCTTCAGTGCTGTACAGAATCTAGGCACCTGGCTAGCCCCACAGGTGATGTCATGTCTATCCCTTCTCTACCATGGAATGTGTGTAGACGATGAGTCTAGAAGGTTAGGTCTAACCTAACCTAACCTAACCTTGTAGACGAGGAATCTACAAGATTAGGTCTAACCTAACCTAACCTAACCTAACCTAACCTAACCTTAGGTTAAGTTAGGTTATCCCCATAATGTGTGTGTGGTAACTATTCGACTCTACAAGGGACGTTCCACAACGGACGAACATTTATCAGTTCTTTTTCTGCCTATCCTCAGCCTCAATGTCAGGGCATTGAGTGATCCAGTATCATCTCTCCCTCAATATCTTCATGAGGCGTTATATCAAAATCACTGTCAGCATCTCCCCCTGTGAGCGTCATGAACCAGCGGGCACAAGTATGTGATGAGTTATCTTGATCTTGATCTTGATATGATTTCGGGGCTTTAGTGTCCCCGCGTTCTAAGTTCTAAGTTCTAAGACAAGTTGGTTATAACGGGTCAAGATCATCACTTGGTCCGCTGGTCACAGATCTGGTCGACGACCGACGAAACGACACGTGTCTTTTCCGCCGTGTTGGTTCCTCGGTCCATAAAGTTGTGCTCACCACTAGTAAGACCTCAGTGTCATCCACCTCTGCTTGTAAGACCTCAGTGTCATCCACCTCTGCTTGTAAGACCTCAGTGTCATCCACCTCTGCTTGTAAGACCTCAGTGTCATCCACCTCTACTTGTAAGATCTCAGTGTCATCCACCTCTGCTTGTAAGACCTCAGTGTCATCCACCTCTGCTTGTAAGACCTCAGTGTCATCCACCTCTGCTTGTAAGACCTCAGTGTCATCCACCTCTGCTTGTAAGACCTCAGTGTCATCCACCTCTGCTTGTAAGACCTTAGTGTCATCCACCTCTGCTTGTAAGACCTCAGTGTCAGCCACCTCTGTTTGTAAGACCTCAGTGTCATCCACCTCTGCTTGTAAGACCTTAGTGTCATCCACCTCTGCTTGTAAGACCTCAGTGTCAGCCACCTCTGTTTGTAAGACCTCAGTGTCATCCACCTCTGCTTGTAAGACCTCAGTGTCATCCACCTCTGGTCACTATCACGGACCACCAGACTCCTGAGGTTATTGGAGATAGTACACCATCACGAACCACTAAGTTCCAAGATTATAAGACAGCTTTGAGTAACATGGGAGTAACAGGCTAACTCCCTTTGAATAACAGGGAGCCGGTCGGCCGAGCGGACAGCACGCTGTACTTGTGATCATGTGGTCCCTTGTTCGATCCCGGGCGCCGGCGAGAAACAATGTGCAGAGTTTCTTTCACCCTATGCCCCTGTTACCTAGCAGTAAAATAGGTACCTGGGTGTTAGTCAGCTGTCACGGGCTGCTTCCTAGAGGTGAAGGCCTGGTCGAGGACCGGGCCGCAGGGACACTAAAGCCCCGAAATCATCTCAAGATAACCTCAAGATAAGATCTTCAAGACGATACTGAAGAGCAGCGCCAATGCAGAGGATTGTACACCGACTCTCTTAGATCACAAGAGAGATGTCAATCACATTAATGAAACCCTTCGAACTATTTTAACTTGGGGATGATAACAGAAGTAATTATAATTGGTAAACATAATAATATGTTAACTAAATAGCAGCAATAAAAATAATAGTAATAATAATGTTAAACATTCAATAATAAGGAAGAGGAAAACATAGGCGGAGAGACAGAAATAGAGAAAGAGAGAAAAAGAGAGAGAAGAGAAAAAAGAGAGACAAAGAGAGATGGAAGGAAACTATCATGAGAAAGCACTATGCCACAATGACTCTATTGCACTTGGAAGGGTCTCAGGATAAGAATTTGGGATGAGACGGGTGGAAGGAATAGTGTCCAACCACTTGGACGGTCGGGGATTGAACGCCGACCTGCACGAAGCGAGACCGCCGCTCTATGGTCCACCCCAAGCGGTTGGTATGAGAGAGAGAGAGAGAGAGAGAGAGAGAGAGAGAGAGAGAGAGAGAGAGAGAGAGAGAGAGAGAGAGAGAGAGAGAGAGAGAGAGAGAGAAATTATCTGACACACACACACACACACACAAATCCAGACAGTACACAAGCAGACAAGCAGAGAAACAGGTAAACCAAAGACAGAAAGAGTTGGATGGTAAACAGAGAAGACCTTCATCAACACCCCCACCCCCCCACCCCCCAGACGGGTATACAACCACTGAGCAGTTCACGGGTTTACTGCCAATCGTGGCCGACACGGCTAGAAGAGGACGTATAAATCTAGCCCGGATCGTAAATCTCGCTAATGGATAGTTGCTAACCCCAGAGCTCCAGGGCTGTAGATTTAACCACAGATGTGTAATTATCCAGTGAAAGTTGGCTGCCAAAATTATTCTGTGGCGCAGCTCCCAAGAATATTTACCTCATGAACCTAATTCTGTTTTTTTTTGTAAAGCTAATAAAGTTTACAACAAAGAAATAATAATATACAATACTTTATTTTGTGATTAATTTAACATTGTAGCTGGAACTGTTTTTACTACCAATTTTGTGGCATTAGTTATTCATTTATGAGGTGTGTAAATTATTGACTTGAACATGTCAGTGTTTTTTTAAATGAATAAGTAATGGCACAACATGATATTGAATAGATTTCAAGTAATAAAAGTTACATTATTAAATAAATATTATTCAAATAAGGTCAAGATTATCATTAATATAGGCAACATGACCCAAAAATTGCAATTGGAGCTTTTAAGAACCCAAAAGAAACTAAAATAATTGACGTATTAAACACAAAATTTAATAATAATAATAATAATAATAATAATAATAATAATAATAATAATGTCGGCCATACCAGCAATAATTGTATATTGATTACAATAGTAATAATAATAATAGAACAACAATAACTGTTCATCAACAATTACTGTTGTAGCTGAAGAACAAGCCACTGGGGCATTGTTCTCATGGATCAGTATCTATGCTGGTAATGCATATTTATATATGCTGTTTTTTCCTTCTCTTGTCGACATGTTATGAGTTAGGATGCTGGTGGGAAGGGTGTGGGGAAGGGGGTTGTATATATATATATATATATATATATATATATATATATATATATATATATATATATATATATATATATATATATATATATATATATATATATATATGTGTGTGTGTGTGTGTATCGTACCTAGTAGCCAGAACGCACTTCTCAGCCTACTATGCAAGGCCCGATTTGCCTATTAAGCCAAGTTTTCATGAATTAATGTTTTTTCGACTACCTAACCTACCTAACCTAACCTAACCTAACTTTTTCGGGTACCTAACCTAACCTAACCTATAAAGATAGGTTAGGTTAGGTTAGGTAGGGTTGGCTAGGTTCGGTCATATATCTACGTTAATTTTAACTACATTAACAAAAAATTTACCTCATACATAATGAAATGGGTAGCTTTATCATTTCATAAGAAAAAAATTAGAGAAAATATATTATTTCAGGAAAATTTGGCTTATTAGGCAAATCGGGCCTTGCATAGTAGGCTGAGAAGTGCGTTCTGGCTACTAGGTACGACATATATATATATATATATATATATATATATATATATATATATATATATATATATATATATATATATATATATATATATATATATATATATATATATATATATATATATATATATATATATATATATATATATATATATATTAACATTCCCTCATGTCTTGAAAACCATCTGGCAGCCATTTGTACCCGGTACCTGTTTGGAGTTAATGTTTTCACCACATAAAACAGAATTGCCTAACGGTAATTACCCACTGAAGGATTGCTGAAGTTGGATTCAAGTTTTTTTTCAGACTCATACCAAGTCAATTTGTGTTCTGATAATGGTATCGTGCACGGATGATAACAACATTACTGTACTCACAACGGATTTATGTTTATATTTCCTATCACTGTGATCTGTTTCTTGGAACTTTATTATCCACTTTTGTACCTGACAACCTATTTTGTAAACCTAATTTCCTGCGCAATAATTTCATGGTCTGTAGTTTCTAGCTACCGGTTTGCAGCCTCTGCTGTGAGAGAGAGAGAGAGAGAGAGAGAGAGAGAGAGAGAGAGAGAGAGAGAGAGAGAGAGAGAGAGAGAGAGAGAGAGAGAGAGAGAGAGAGAGAGAGAGAGAGAGAGAGAGAAGAGAGAGAGAGAGAAGCATGGATAAGCTCTTTGGGACTCCCTGCTGCGTATGTGTGCCTCTATCTCCTCCACGAACATACGCCTGGGTGGGTCTCTGGCTGGAGCAGACGTCGGTGGTGTCTGCGGATTACCCGCCCATAGGCCTGCCCAACCCAACATACAATGCCCCCCTGGATTATTCCCTAATTGCCCGAATACCGTCTGACAACCATAGGTAATTCCTGACATGTCTTGTCTGTTACCTGCAGCGGTATGAATATAGGAAAGGGTGAGAGGGAGGAAAAATACGCCGTGGATAATAATATTCAAATCGGACTCTCTCCTCGAGGACGGATCAGGATGGAGAATACTCCATCACATTTTCTTTGCAGGCATCCTCTGGGTGGAGCCATTGTCAAGGAGCGATTGCGGTATCACATTTTCTGCCCTCTTGGCTGTCGGGGGGTCTTGTTGAGGATAATCTCCGACCTCTGATAGGCCTACACAAAAGGCAGAGGCATCAGCACTCGATACCTGATCTTCCATCGCTTGTGGTTTTTGTAGGGGAGCACTGGAGAGTGATGTTATCACTCCATTCACTCCGGCGGAGAACGTCCTCCTGTACTGTGCTCAGTGGAGCCACACCGCGTCATTACCACGGCGGAGACATCACACTTTCTATGCCAAGGTGTACACTGTTGACTCACTGTGAAAAATGACACTTTTACACGTCAAATGGCGTTGTTACGTCCCTTTTCAGTCGTCCGCATCCCCTCGCTCTCACACTTAGCTCTTAACCCTCCCCCCCAGCATCCTGTACTAAACAGGGACCGCTCTATTACCCATATAGTGTGACCCTGGCTCACAGGAGGCAGGGCTCGTCGTCAAATGAGAGTGAAAACTGAATTTTGCTCTCGTGTAGGGAGAGAGAGAATGCTCCGAACAGATTCTATTCCATTTTCGAAAGAAATATTATTTTTAGTGTTTATTTTTTAAGCTAAATATACATGACAGATTGGTTTTGAGAGGATACCAGGAAAATATTGACTCACAAATAAATATATTGGTAAAAGAGATACACGGGTTTAATTGTCCTTCAGAATCTCCATAGAATGGTTTATACTAAACCTTTCCTCCGGCCACAGGCTCTTATCAGCCAAACCACACAACAGGCCTACCAGATTGTCAAATTCACATATGGTGGAGGTCAGATTGTGGGCGCCATAGGCCTATTGAAGTGCACTTTTTTTTTTTAGGTTCAGAGCGATAGTGATCAGATGAGCGGCCTCTATAGATACAGGGAGACATATGTGAGGGGAAGCCAAAATGAAATTTTAAATTCAATCCAATGTTTCATAGAATTACGGTCATTTGCTAAGATCAAGCAAGCTATTGAAGAAAATAATTATGTATTTCTTTCGATAATTTCAATAATAAGTCTCAACTCCAGGCATTTGACCGACTGATGTGTTAAGAGAACCTGCTAAAGACAGGAATATGTCAGAATATGACAGGACAGAGTCTAAAAGCCCATAAAAAAGAGCTAAGAATGACCCTTGAATCATCTTTTATTTAAGACAAAAAAGTAATTTGACTAAACATTTCAAGTCAATGCTCAACATTAAAAAAAAATGAAAATTTGGATATGGGTGCACATTCCCAAGACCAGACGGACGAAACACCTGCCTAACACCTGTTATAAAAATTAATTTCAGGAGAAAAACAAAAATGTATGGGGTGCACAATCACCGAACAAAATCAAAATGAAGCCAAAGATAAATTAACCTCCTGTTAACAGCAATGATCAGTTATTAGTAATGATAAATACCTGAATCTGGAAGGTATATGGTATACCAATATCAGTATAACAATAGCATGATTATATCACAGCAAGATCACAATTACCACGATGGGTAAATGTGGCTCATTGTCACCACGAGTAAGCAAATCGAGACGAAACGATGAACAACCCAGCGGGTTTTCTTCCTATTGGGGAGTGTTGTACATGCTGCTATGGCGGTATGTCCACTCACAAGATGAGTGGCGCTGCCCAATAAACTCGCCCCTCGGGGCAAAATTTAAAAAAATATTTAACTAGAGGCAACCTCTCATCACCAACAAAACCCCGCTGGTGTCTAAGTCACAGTTCCGGCGCCGATACAAGGAACACGAAGGAGCAGCAGGAGGATCAGGAGGAGACAAGAGAAGGCTGGTCCCCCTACCAGCTAATGAGAGGGACAACGTGGAGGTCCTCTCCTGTAACACGACCGACCGTAAACGACGGGTCGGTCTGCAATGTTATCGCCACCGACCAGCAACCCGATACTGTTGTGACTGCTCACCCGACACCCGACCGAGGCCACAGACATGACACGTCAAGCTCCCCTCCCTGCCTGCGCCCCCTATCCGACCAAACCATCCAGCTGCCGACTTCCGCAAAAATTGTCCAAAAGTCTTGTCATATGTGGTCCCCGAGGTCGTTACTGAAGACGTTATAGCTTTGCTCACGAGTTGGTTCTTATTGATGTCTCGTGACGGCACTGATAGTGAGCTTGTCTTAGGAATTGTTAAATTATATATTTTATAATTTATTATTGAAATATATTTTTGTATGTACTCAGCTAGCACTCATCTAGTTATGTTTCCGGGGGTTAACCTTCGGCTCTTTGGTTCCGCCTCTCAGCCATCAATCAATTGGTATTCACCTATTTGCACTCACCTATTTGTGTCTGCTGGATCGAGCATTGACTCTTGGATCCCGCCTTTCTAGCCATCGGTTGTTTACAGCAATGACTCCGGTCCTATTTCTCTATACCGACACTTGTTCCTGAAACCAATTGGGCTCTCTCGTATCTACATTTGAAACTGTGTATGGAGTCTGCCTCCACGTCACTGCCTAATGCATTCCCTTTGTAATTACCCTGACACTACAAAAATTATTTATAATGTCTCAGTTGTTCATCCAGGTATTGAGTTTCCATCTGTGTCTCCTTGTTCGTGTACCACCCGCCGTAAATTATTTGTAAATTTATCCTGTCATTTCACCTGAGAATTTTGTTGATGATAATCATGTCTCCCCTTACTCCTCTGTCTTCTGATGACGTGAGGTTTAATTCAGTAGTATTTCCTCGTATCTCATATCCCTCAGCTCAGGTACTACTCTAGTGGCGTACCTCTGAACTTTCTCTAACTTCGTCTTGTGCTTCACTAGATACGAACTCAATGCTGGAGCTGCATACTCTAGGACAGGTGTGACATATGTGGTATTCAAGATCCTGAATGTTTCCTTACTCAAGTCTCTGAAGGCAGTCTTTATGTTGGCCAACCGAGCATATGCCGCTGATGATATCCTTTTCATGTGGGCTTCAGGGGACAAGTCTGGTGTGATGTCAACATCCAGATCTTTCTCTTCAGATTCTTAAAGGATTTCATCTCCCAAACGATGTCTTATATCTGGCGTCCTTGTCCCTACACCTATTTTCTTTACTTTACCCTTGCTTGAGTTAAACTCTAGTAGCTATTTGTTGGACCCCTTCCTTCAGTTTGTCCAGATCATATATTAGTCTCATGCTGTCCTCCTCTGTCTTAATCCTTCTCAATAACTCTCTGGAAGATCATTGACGTACATCAGAAAAAAAAAAGATTGGTCCGAGTACAGAACCCTGTGGGACTCCGCTGGTGACATCTGCAGTCTCACCCCTTTCCACTAATTATTTTCCGTTGCTTAGGTACTCCCTTATCCCCTGGAGCACCCTACTTGTCACGCCTGTCTGTTTCTCCAACTTGAGTTGATCGTGATGACAAAGACATGGTAAAAATGGGACTCATTTTTGGGTTTCAAGGTGTTAGGAGAGACTTCCCGTCTCTACACATTGTGACTAGATTGACTAAATTTATTTAGCAGTTTATTATCGAAGAAATGCAGGTGACATATTGTGGAAACAGGTATTTCATACCAAAAGTGATACCAGAAATGTCAAGCCAACAGTCACACCAGAGATGTCATGCCAACAGTGACACCGGAGATGTCATGCCAACAGTGACACCAGAGATGTCATGCCATCAGTGACACCAGAGATGTCATGCCATCAGTGACAGACATAAAAACTAACATATCAGAAGAGAAATACGCCAAGTAAATGTTTAGGAGCGGAAATTGTTAACAAATCCTTGAGATTATATATATATATATATATATATATATATATATATATATATATATATATATATATATATATATATATATATGTCGTACCTAGTAGCCAGAACGCACTTCTCGGCCTACTATGCAAGGCCCGATTTGCCCAATAAGCCAAGTTTTCCTGAATTAATATATTTTCTCTAATTTTTTTCTTATGAAATGGTAAAGCTACCAATTTCATTATGTATGAGGTTAATTTTTTTTATTTAAGTTAAAATTAACGTAGATATATGACCGAACCTAACCAGCCTACCTAACCTAACCTAACCTATCTTTATAGGTTAGGTTAGGTTTGGTAGCCGAAAAAGTTAGGTTAGGTTAGGTAGGTTAGGTAGTTGAAAAACAATTAATTCATGAAAACTTGGCTTATTAGGCAAATCGGGCCTTGCATAGTAGGCTGAGAAGTGCGTTCTGGCTACTAGGTACGATATATATATATATATATATATATATATATATATATATATTATATATATATATATATATATATATATATATATATATATAATGTTGACCTTATGCTATTGAAGAGAAAATGATGTAGGTGGCGGAAGGTAATCACAGGTACGGTGCAAAGGTCCCTACTGTATTTAAGGCTTTAAGCCTTAAATACAGTAGGGACTTTACGCCTTTATTTATGTATTTTTTCTTGTAGTCTTGGGCTGCAGTGTTGTGTACTGTCGGAAACATTTATCAGAAAAAGGGAATAGTTTTCAATTTATTATGTGGTCGTTTTTTTATTTATTATATACATATATACAGATACGCATTTTATCTCAGCCTGTCTGTCTTCCACGACTCTCTGTCTGCGTCTTTCTGCATGTTTGACTCTGTCTGTCTGTCTGTCTCTCTCTCTCTCTCTCTCTCTCTCTCTCTCTCTCTCTCTCTCTCTCTCTCTCTCTCTCTCTCTCTCTCTCTCTCTCTCTCTCCAAAAGTACAATCTGGCAACGGTCAGGGCAGCTGATTGTACGCCCTATAAAAAACAACCCAGACAGAGTTTTTAGCGTTAAAATAAAATTGTCAAAAGACTGATGGTTGTAGATGTGCGTTTAATGGCCTTGTTATCTGCTCCGGGAATTTCACCGCGGATTTTTGGGTTCAGAGTAAAATGCTGAAGGAAATTAATGAACTTGATAAATTCCAACGTGTAGCAGAAGGGAGTGGAGGTACAGAGACGCGCGTGCGTGCGTGCGTGCAACCATCATTGCTACCTCGGCGAACACACAGCACCAGGGGTGCCGGTCGGCCGAGTGGACAGCACGCGGGACTTGTGATCCTGTGGTCCTGGATTCGATCCCAGGCGCCGGCGAGAAACAATGAGCAGAGTTTCTTTCACCCTATGCCCCTGTTACCTAGCAGTTAAATAGGTACCGAGGTGCTAGTCAGCTGTCACGGGCTGCTTCCTGGGGGTGGAGGCCTGGTCGAGGACCGGGCCGCGGGGACACTAAAAGCCCCGAAATCATCTCAAGATAACCTCAAGATAACCTAACCACTCCCGTTCACCACCCATGACCCTGTCACTGTCGCTCTCACCACTATCACCAACACGATTGATCACCATCACCACCTCTACCACCACCAGCTCTTCAACCACCACCTCTCTAGCCCCACACCAGTCCCACGAGCTCCACTATCACCACAATTCTTATATCATCTACCAACACGAACAACCCCACCACCACCACTACAACTACCACCAGCCTCAACACCATTAATGCTGCCACTGACACCATCATCCCAATAACACTTAAACAATAAAACTTAAACAACCATCCTACACTCCCCCCCCCCACAATACCTATCCACCTCAGCTAAAATATCCCATCACAACCCCATCATAACTACCACAAAGTTGGTAGAGGAATATAAAACCCGAGGACGACTCCAGAGAACTACATGAAGTTCTCGAAAACTACAAGATTTGTCAGACACATTTTGTCAGACAAATTTTGTCTGTTTAAAGTCAACCCCAACAAGTGTAAGTTAATACAGATGAGAAAAAGATACTAAACAGATGAAATTGATGCCATTAGGGGAAAATAACTACAAGAACCAGGCAAATCAAAATCTCTGGTAGTGGATAGTGGATAATCTCTCTTTCACTAACATCAGAGGTAGAAAGAATCAGGATGCTATAGGCATCATATAGGACGCTGGCATACATTACATAATACCGAGAGGAATTGACAAGGAAGACAAGTACAGCATGTTTAAGCTAAGAGAAAGCAGGGCAAGAAGACACAGGAAGAAAATATGTTTCAAAGATTATGTGTCGAATGAAAGAACATTTTGTACCCTAATACAGGTGGTCAACAAGTGAGATTTACTCAAGAAGTCGTGGAATCCACCTCCTGCATCACTCGTAAGAGCAGATTCGACAACAATTTTGAACGTCGTGAAACAAAACGCAGAATGGTTCATCAAGGTTCGTAGACGAGACATATACAAAGCTAGACCACACCTCCACGTACTCACCGCTAGGTAAGCAGTGTTAGGCAAGCCATCTTACCCACCACCGGCAGGAGCACACACACTCTAGCTGACATAAAGGGTGCTCAAGCGGCGCTACTAATCCCGCCTCCACCTCCTTCACGTATTTGGATCAGAACTGGTTACAAGTAGTGGGGTTGGTG